TGGGGTGTGTTGGAGCATCACCTTCACAGCTCCCATAGGATGTCTGGGCATAGAACCCAGTGCAAATGTTGCAGCCTTCAGCTGAGCCCCATGGCGTGGCCATCCCTTCGAGTTCTGCTGGAGTCTGCAAAGCTCCCAGGAAGCTCTGCTTTTCTCTGTTGGGTTCAGATTCCTGCAAAACAGGTAGAAAAAAGCCCAATGAAATGACAGTGACTGTGTGCAAAGCCACCACCATTCATTGCCAGGGCCACGCTGCACTGTGCTCTTCCAGAGCAGGGCTCAGTGCACAGCAGTGCTGCTCTTTCAGTAGAAGACCCTGGGTTTCAAGGGCGTTGTCATTAAAAAGAAAAGGAAAAAAACAAGCCCAGCATAGGGCTGCAGACTTGAGTGACAGGAAGGAAATCTGGTGGTTTATTTCAGTCTGCAGACTGCTCGGTGGGGCAAAGCAGACTCTTCCGCGCACTGATAGTGGCGACAGCCCCTCTGCCAACAATGGGACCAGGGGTCAGCAGCACCCTTCCCAGCAGGAAAAAGCCCATAAAATCTCCCAATGGGAGCTGACTGAATCCTTGTGGTGTGGAAGCTTTCCCCCAGGACCAATGCAGAAGCAAAGTCCATGACTGCAGTTGAGTGTTTTGGAGGAGTGGGTGCTTCCTATTTTTTCATGGCTCAGTGGGTGGAGTTTGCTTTTGCTTGTTGCCTGCGGTTGCCCAACAAAGAGCTCAGGCGTGGGAATCTCTATTTATACAGGCACTGCTCCTGCTCAGCATCCTGTAGCACTGGGAGCATTCAGGGCACAAAGCCCATTGCCAATGGAGGGGCTCATAGCCTGGGATTGTGGCTGGGGCCATTTGTGAGCCTAGAACGTGGGCTCAGCTCTGGCAGCACCATGTGTATGGGGCAGTTGGCGCTCAGTGAGTTCTGTGAAAGCAGCCTCTGTGCTTTGTTACTTCTGTCTCAGTCTGACGCTCATGCTGGCAAAAATCAATGTTTTTGCATTCAAAGAAATACCTACAAAGCACCACATTTTTCCTATGGGCTGTACCTACCACTGCATGTGGCATCTGACTCCAGTACTGCTTGCTTGCTTCGTGTGCTTCCAGCCCCAGTTGTGTGCAGGGGCAGAGAGGTGCCAGGAGCTGGGCCCAGCCCATGGGGTGATCACCACAAGCTTTGAGCAGAAACCATTCTCTCCTCTCTGTATCCAATTTATTCTCACTCTGGCAGTGTCCTTTAGCTTCAATATTTCTTTTACCTCTACAATGAAGAGGACCAATGATGATGTATTTATAGAGCAATCTCTTCCCTGCTCTCCTTTTACCATTCTGACTGTGCTGCATGCAGATAATTGCATAAGCAACCTGCATCTCCCACCCATCCTCGCACTGGAGCAGCTGTCACCACAAAGGGCTGCACGTGGCTACAATGGGTGACTCAGCCCCACCTGTCCCAACCTACAGGAAATGAGTCAGGTTGTAAGGAAGCAGTAAAGTGATGAGGCAGGAGCCCTTCCTGCGTGAACTGTGCAGCGGCAATCTTGGGAGGTAGAAGAGTGAAGGTCTCACGGGGATTGTGCTGCAGTTTTATCCCAGCAACTAGGGGAAGAGAGTCAGGGACACCCCATAAGTCATCCCCAAACCAAAGCTGGGGTGTGAGTTCCTCTCCTCTGGCACCCAGAGCCTCCTGAGGAAGAGCTGCTCCTAGTCTTACCTTCAGTGTGAGGTGTACGGGGAGGAGAGGATGCAGGGGCAGTTCCAGGACGTGGGCTGAACCATGTGTGCCTCTTTTTCCCCACAGAGATGGACACCTTCAGCACCAAGAGCTTGGCCCTGCAGGCCCAGAAGAAGCTCTTGAGCAAAATGGCTTCCAAGACCATGGCCAATGTCTTCATTGACGACACAAGCAGCGAGATCTTGGACGAGCTCTATCGAGCCACGAAGGAGTACACCCACAATCGCAAAGAGGCCCAGAAGATCATCAAAAACCTCATCAAGATTGTGATGAAGCTGGGCGTGCTGTATCGCAATGGGCAGTTCAGCCCTGAGGAGCTGATGGTGATGGAACGCTTCCGCAAGAAGGTGCACACCTTGGCCATGACAGCGGTCAGCTTCCACCAGATAGACTTTACCTTTGACCGCAGGGTCATGTCAAGTGTGCTGACGGAGTGCCGGGACCTCCTGCACCAGGCTGTCAGCAGCCACCTGACGGCCAAGTCACACTCCCGCATCAACCATGTCTTCAACCACTTTGCAGACTACGAGTTCCTCTCGGCCCTCTATGGGCCAGCCGAGCCCTACCGCACCCACCTGAAGAGAATTTGTGAAGGTGTCAACAAGATGCTGGAGGAGGACAACATATGAAGCCATTGGTGGCAACGTGACTCAGCATCCCATTACCTATGAGCCTGAAGACAGGACATACGGCCATTTTGGTGATGACAGGGTTTTGTCCTCTTCTCTGTGATGCTAACTCTCTCATTTTCTCCTCTTTATATAAAAGACTGAACCTCCTGACTTCGTCTGTCCCTTGCCCAGGATCTGCAAACCTTGCTCCTGGCTGAGTTCTTTCCAGGTGCTCCAGGGCTTCTGGCTCCCTGGGCTCCTGCTGTACAATCTTGGTTTTCCTTTGCCCATAAAGTGCTCTTAGCTCTGAGTCCAAGTAACTGGCCACAACTGGATTCTCCGCTTTGAACTTGACTGTAATTCTTCTATAGAAAACAAACCAAAGACTGGCAGTGTGCAACACCAATCCAAGATGTGCAGCTGCTTGGTGAGCAGGTGTGATACCATTATCATAGCTCTATTTTGGCAAGGTCCCAGCACCTCCATGACACAGTGGGAACAAGCCATGCTCCAGGCTTACACTGCCCAGCTTAGGAGATACTTCTGTGCCTTTGCAGGCTGGAAGGGGTTTTGGCCTCCCATGGACAAGTCCTGGCAACCAGAAAGATCCCCAGCTGCATGGGTGAGCAGTGGTCCCTCAGGGTTGGAAGCACCCTTGGTGGCCCTGTGTTCTCCCTCATCCTGGGCTCAGCTGGGATTCCCCAACAGCCTCCTGTGGACGGTATCACTGTGATCACTCAGATGCCTTCCTTTGTCATTGTCCTGAGTATTTCACACATTTGACATGTCCTTGAGTGAGTTCTAATTGTTATTTTTTACAAAACTCTGTAGCCCTTATGAGTTTTCTAAATAAACTCAACCGGTTTGGCTTGGTGCTCCATGTGGTTTGTACAAAGCTGGTGATGGTCACCGAACAAGTGTGATGGGCACTAGCTTGCTAGGTTTGTCCTTTGCATGAAGATTGCTCGCTGTGCCTGAGGCTTCTGCTTTCCCTTTCCCTGGCATGACAACAAAGATCCTCCCCCTCAAACCGCTGCTCCCTGGGACAACAGTGTTGCATAGCCTATGCTGAGGTGGTGGGAAAAAACATGGTGCAAAACCAGCACCAAAGGTATGGAGTCCTGTACATGCACCCACACGCTTCCCTGCATCAGTCCCTGTGCTGCACAGCAGGAACAAAAAAAGCACAACCCCAGTGACAAAAGGGAAAGGACAGCCTTACAGTGCGCTGTGCTCTCAGAGTAGATGCACCAGCCTTGGCCTATTTCAAACATTGGTCTTTGCTTTGAAAATACAAAATAGCCCTTTTAGCAGACAAGTCACTGTGCAATATCAGCTGGCCTTATCTTGGTGACTTTCTTGTTCCATGTGCTCTGTGGGATGTCTCCAATGCTCACAGGTACAACCCGGCCACTAGCATCCACTGCTCCCTTCCTGCTGCCAGCTCAAGGCAGTGGTACGTTTCAGCCTTCAATATTAAAAGAAATAAAGCCTCTACCTCTGTCATTTCATAGGTTTGGCTCTAAATATCACAGCTAATTTAATTGTGCAAAGCAAGCTCGGGATGTGGAGTAAGGTGCATATACAGGCGTGCGCATAGGAGAATGCAGCCAAGAGTCACTGAGTTGTTGGCCCTTTGGAGAAGGCAGAGAGGTCAGCTTTGGTGTGCAACATTTGAAAGCAGATGTTCCTGTCTCCATTGGGCTTTCTGCAACTGTCAGGTATATGCCGAAAAGTAGCTAGGACTGCTAACAGCTCAGCACTGCTTGGTGGAGTATCGGTAGATGCAGAGAACACAAAGTGGAATGGAGCTGATGGATGCTACTGCACTGGCAGCCAAAAATGCTTCACCGTTCCGTTCTCGATGCACACGTCAGCACCAGCTGCATCATGTTCCTTAACTCTATGAAGCATCTCTGCCCAGAGTAGTCCCTACTGAATCACAGCTGCTTTCTTTGTCCCCAGGGGTTCTTACTCCCCTGTGTGAGAGAGAGGACCAAGCTCAACTCACAAAGTGCCTCGCACCAGCTTTCCTTCACTTACAGATCTCTAATCTAAATGTTCTTCCCTGCACCCCACAGCAAACACCCACCTCATCCTCAAACCCACTTTCCCATCCTGGTGAAGCCATGGAGAGCTCACCCTCTGCTAGCAGAGCCACCTCATGACTAGATTTCTAGTCCCAACACTGGCCATCTGAGTCTGGGAAATGAGTCCCTTTGATTCTGTTTTGCTGACTCCCTCCAAGCAGCTGGTTTAACAGGGAAGGAGATCACTCCTGGGACCAGCAGGTTATCTGCAATTCCAGGAGCCACTCAGTGGAGAAAGAAGCATCCAGGAACACTCTGGAAAACAGAGCCTGTAAAATTCCCAGCACAAAGTACTCTCAAAGACAAGGAAACTCCCACAGAACAGAAAAGGTAGCTAACAATGACCACAGTTGACACCAGGCATCACCTGGTGTCTGGACAAAGCACCTATCATGACAGCACTGGGTTACAGGTTCTTGTGGGCTGCTGGGATACCTCTTGGATGGGCAGAACCCCCATAAACCTTCTGCAGCCTCCAACCTGCATCTCAGCAACTCCTGGCTAAGCAAGCGTTGAATTGGATTGCTAGGCATCCAGTTGGAGGACAGGAATCATAGACCAAAGCAAACCCAGGTGCAAGCACAATGCTTTATTTGTGTATTTATGCAGGATAGGAATTCCACATTCCCTCGCTGTTAATATTTTAGATAAGAAAAAAAATGCTTCTGTACATAGAAAATAGTCCTGCACTGGTACTGAGACATGAAAGTGTTGCTTGGATTGACTCCTGGGTTGTGCCAGAATAAGAAACTCTGCCTTCCCCATGCCAAGTTATCCCAATCTCCAATTTGCACTAGGACAGAACATCCTCTCCAATTAAGCCACTGATGGTTTTCCATAGTGGCACTTAAGTCAGGTGGCTTTGACCAACCCTATCCCTTCCTTCCCCCTCCTCCCCAATTTAATTTGTTTCTTCTGTAATGCTTCCAGAGAAAGAAACCCTGTTACCACCTTCCAGAGACTCCAGGGTTAACAACTTTCATTTAGGAGATCTTGCTTAAATCCAGCTGCTGCATTGCTCCTCCTAGCAAGGAAGATGAAGTGCTGTTTTAGAGGGCAGCTTTACCATATTCAGCAGATCACTGAAGTAGAAAACAGGCAGCAGAATGGCTAGCTCTAGATCAGGATTTTCAGAGGATGTTTCCAGCTGCAAAGCACACTGTTACTCTGACACAAGACAGAACGCATTTTTCTCAACACCTCAACGCCCCACTTGTCTTGGACCCTAGCGCACCTCAATATGTAAAACATGAAAGGTTTGGCCAACTGAAATAACTGCCAATAACAAGTAATTTCCATTGTTTGCCATGGTCTCCTGGCCGAAATACTGCCCAACAGCATCTTCAGAGTCACAGCTCATCATGGGGAGTTTTTGCTACAATCACGAGCTTCGACAGTTCAAAACGGAACTTGCCTTCCCTGTGAGACACTAGAAAGAGAGAAAACAAGTATAGGATAAACAAATGGTAAGGTATAAATAAAATAGCCCTGCTGGTTCCCTTCCAGGATGATAAAAAGCCAGCAAGTTGGACACTGAAGTTCTTTACACGCACAGTACAAGCACACTGTGATAAACCCATTCTTCCCCTATGCCAATTAACACTTAAACTGGAAGGGGATCTGCAAAATCTTGCTGCCAAATATGGATCATGAACACTACACTGCTGACTCCATAATGTGCAGTGTCTGCCTCTATGCTGTCACCTATTGGCTTTAAGCTTAACTGCTCATCTCCTGGTAGACAACCAGGCTTGTCTCTCACACCAGGCCCTTTTTCACATAGTTTTCTCAGTCACAGACCTGTCGTTTCAGCGATTTCAAATTCTTCCTGTTTTAAGGGGATGTCTCTCTGTGCACCCACTGCAGCTTGAGACTGAAACAGGAAGGAAAAAAAGCTTATGCAATTGAGATAATCCAAGAAGCTAGTGCATTTAAAGCAAATAAACAACAGCACATTTTGAAAACAAACAAACTTGTCTTTTAATGATGTAGAGTGAAAGACCTACATCTGCAAAGGAATTTTGAAGGAAAATTCCTGGCTAGGTTTCCATTTCCTTTTAAACACAAACTTGCAACCTTCAGATGACTGAAAGGCAAAGAAATGGAAGAATGAATTTGCTGAGACAAATCAAGGTGCTCCTTGTCCTGTGCACCCTGGCAGGATGGTGTCTTTTGGAACCAATGACATCAGCAAAACCAGCAGCTAACCCACAGCATACAAGGAGCAGAAGTTAAATAGTGCAGGAGGGTCTTTCTGCAGACACTTGGTCCTGACTCTCTCTAATTAAGGGCATAGTGGAGTACATTTTACTGGACAGATGCCTCATGAATGTTTTCAATGTCCAACCCATGTTTTACAGCAGTTTCCCACATGCCTATATCCGAGTCATCAGCTTGGACTTACATAAGCCATGGCGTATTCTATCTTGGCTCCTTTCACTTCTGATTTAAACTGGGTGAAGAAGAGGTAAGACTTCCCTTGGGGCCTAAAATAAGAACACAGCCTTTGGCATCTAAAGCAGAGAAAGGTTATATGGGAGGTGAGATCATAGGGAAGGGTCAGGCTCAGGGGCTAACTCTGCTTCTTGGCTCTCTAGGCCACAAGCATTAGAGACCATACTGCTCTGACTTTCCAGTGAAGGGGCAAATCAGGAAGCTTCTTCTAATCCCTGCTGTTGGTAGAGAGGGTGGAGGTGTAGAGGAGTGGCAGGATACATGGCTCCCTCCCTCCACAGTCACCTCTAGCTTTCTTGTAGCTTCAACTAGTATAGTGAGGAGATTGGGGAAGAAACACCACCTGGCTTGAGAGACCTCCCAAAGTCACAGCATCTCCTGGGAGAGGAAAGCCAGGAAGCACCATCCCTGCTGCCACAGGGAAGAACCCTGGCCAAGCCCCCCCTGGCCTGTTGTTGCTTTTCACATTAAACCACACACCTCCAAACAGAACAGGAGAAGAGCAGGTTGTCTTCACTGACTCCAATGTTCATCTGCCATTGCTGCAGAAGGGAAAGGCCCCAACAGTTAATCTTGGGAAACATCTCCCATTTTCCAACTCATCCCCACCTCCCAGCTGCAGAAGCACCACTGTGAAATTGCAAAACATAATTACAGAACAGCTGTGGATGGCCCCTTCTCTTTTGTGTGCACAAAGCAGGAGGCCTGGTCACCCTTTCTCTTTTCACCACAATTTCATTAATGCAGTTATAGAAAAGAGTACAAGTCTCATACCCTTTTACAATAAAATAAAAGGACCTGGTTCTATGCAGTTTCCTACAAACTAAGGAGTTACTCCTCCAAGGCCCTTCCTACCAACAGGGGCACGAAATGATAGCTCTGTTCTCCACTGAAAGCATTTGGCCCTAAGATTCCTTAAAATTCACAAATGTCATGGCCTTGTGTGCCACAGCATTGTTGCAACACACAGAGGACACTTCCATTAAAGGAGCAAATCCAACAAAGCTATTTTTGCTAACACGTGGTGTTGGAAATGGTGCCACCACCCTCCCTCAGCTCCTGGGCCCTGAAATCAGCTGATCACAAAAGAATCAACTTCCTCCTTGTAGAAAAGGAAGTTTCTTGTCCTGGTCACAACTAAACCTAGGGGCCAAAATAATGACTGACCAACCATGGCTTCTGGCAGAACAGCGTCCTTTTATCTCTGAGACACATCAGTCCTTCCCAGTTACTACTGCTGTCAGCACTGATAACAACAGAATCCTGTTCTGTGCAGCCAGACTGAGCGCAAAGGAAGCTTCCAAATTGCCCAACTCACCTCATTCGTTCCTCCCTGAGCAGAGTATGTGAAAGTGCAGGTGTAATCTCCCTGGAAAAAGAGAAGATCAGCAGCCTGGCCATGGAGTGACAAACTATGTGAATCTACCTGCTCAACATCAGTAACATCTCACCAACATGAGACATGGGAACACCTGAGAAGGCCATGGAGGCTGTGGGCACAGAGCATCCCACACTGGTCTGACACCAGGAAGAGCCCCAGTATCGGTGGGGGCTGCAAGACCCTCATCCAGGGGGTGCACTGGGGGTCTCAACAGAACCCTGAGGATCTGGGCTGGGGAGTGGGCAGGAACCTGCAGCAGACCATCCCACCAGGTCCCCTCAGCACACCTCTTTCTCCAGAGTCTCCTCCTTCCCTTGGAGCCCCTCACTTTCCCTTGGAGCATCTCCTTCCACTGGACCCCCCCTCTCGACCCGGCCTACAGAGTTCTTCTTGGCCACAGGAATCATCCCACCTTGGTGGCGACACATTTCCTTCAGCTGGTGGCCCTTCTTTGGCGCTCCAGACCCCCTTCTCTTTGGGGCCCGATCCCGGTAGAAAGGTTCCTTCTTTCCTGGATAACTCATTCCTTTGTAGACCCCCCACCCCTGTCATCTATCACTCGTCCCGCCTTCCCTCGCTGTCAGCCAATCCCCGTGCCAGGAGCGAAGAACGACGTGCGTCCCCACCAATCAGCGAGAGGCGCGTACACTCTCCTTTTCCCGTCCCTCTTCTCCCCTCACCAGGCTCCGGGAGAAGGAGTGAACCTCTCCGCCGGGCCTCACGTCGAACTCAGCCGTGCTTGCCTCCTCCACGGCGCGGACCGCTAAGCATAGCACGGCGGCCGGCACCACCGCGGCCCACAGCCACCGACTGCTCCGACCGCAGGGCGCCGCCATCTTGGAAAGGAAGCCCGCGCTACGGCGGGCGGGAGGGGTCGGTGCGGGCGGCGGGCGGTTAGCGGGCACCATGGCGGCCATCTTGAGTGAGGGCAGGGAGCCTGGGCCGGGACGTGGCGGAGTGAGGGCAGGGATTGCGGGGACTCTTCACTACTGGGACAAAGGGACAAGGAGCCATTAGGACATGGGACAAAGTGACAGCGTCTACCTGGACAGCGCCCCTAGGGCCAGCCCGCGGGCTGTAGCCTGTCCCTGAGGTGGCCATTTCAGTGCTGTGTTCCCCCTTATTATGGCCTTGTGTTTGCCCTCATAGGGAGTGAATCTCCACAGTATTTGATGGACACAGAGATAAGCAGCAGGAGGTGAAGGAAGTTAAGGGTTTTTTTTCATCTTGTCCTGCAGGTTTGCTTTGATAAGGAGTTACTTTATAAAGAGCTGGGCTAGGAAGGATAATGTTTGGTTTAGAGAGCTGCAGTTATGGCCAAAAATCTCAGAGCTCTCGCATTTGAGATTCAGCTGGAAAGAAAAGCACCTTATTGGGCTGTAGGCACCCCTGTTTGTTGCAGAGCAGGACAAGATGGCCTTCAGAGGTGCCTTTCAACACAAACCATTCTGTGGTTCTATGAATGGGGCAGAGAAAGCTCCTTTCACCAACCATTGTGGAGAGGAAGCTTTGCCATGCCTAGCAAGGAAAGAAAAGAACTTGCTACATTAATCATGCCTTAGCTCCCCTTTGCAAGCACAGAGTGATTAGCTATGCCATTTTTAATTGTTTCTCAAACAGACAAAAGCCCCTTCCTGAAGGAAGCCCTATCCTCACAGCAAGGCAGGGGAGCAATCCCAGCAAGTGCCGTCTTCCTCCCAGCACAGGAGCTCACAGCAGAGGGAAGCTGGCCTGGTTAGCAACCCCACAGTGGTTGTTGGCTCCCTTCAGCAGGCGGATGTAGCCCTGCTCACCCCACACCTCCGACCAGCTGCAGGAAGAGATGGAGAATGAGCACATCTGCATTCCCATGGCACAGGGAGACCCATTTCATGGGATGGGGATACTCCTGCTGTATCTTTGACCTCACAGAAAAGCAGCGGACAGGCTGAAAGTGATGGCAGATCTAGAGCCACCTCTACCTATTCTTTAAGATCCAGTAGCTCACATTCTTCCTGCCCTCCTGGCTGGTGCTGTAGCCCACAGCCAACATCCCATGGTTCACCTTCTGGCTGCAAAACATACTGCTGAAGATGCCTGAAAAGAACAGAACTGAGTTGTCCAGGCTCTGACCCCAATCAGTACATCTCCTGGAAAAAGGAGGGTGGCTGATCCTATTCCCCTGGGCTGGGTGCCCTGTGGACTCTGCTAGGGCTTAGCTGCCCAGCAGCACAGCAAGGCACCCCTGCCTCAGTCTACCTAACCGCACCTCTCCAGGTGTAGGAGTTGATACCTGATTTGTAGAAGTGAAAGAAGAAGCTGCTGGCATCCACTGCCACAGACACGGGGCCCACGGTTGCCACTGCCTGCTCCAGCGCTGCCTCACTGCCCTGGGCCACCAGCCAGATTGTGGAGCAGTTGGCTGCCCTGTCCCCAGGGTTGTATCGGCAGCTAGAGGTGTCCTGAGAGCAGGGAGAAAGAGTGCCAGGGCTGGGACCCACGAGCACAGCTCTATCCCTGCTTGCCCACCTTCTTGCTGCCCCTTACTGTGGCCTGGTAGGGGTAGACATGCTCAGAGTTCATGCCACCATTGTCATGCACATACTGGAAGGCACGGGTCATGTAGCCGCCTTGGCAACCGTTGTTGCCCAGCTTCCGGGAGCAGTCGATGAGGTTCTGCTCACTCAGCACTGCCAGCTTCCCGGTCCAATTGAAGACGAGTCCCTCTAGGGCCCCTGTAGCACTGAATGCCCAGCATGACCCACAGTGCCCCTGGGTGAGAGGGAAGTGATGGCGGGGATCACAACATCACTCCAAAACTTGATGGAGGGGGATGCTGTGACCCTATAGTGTTGCTTTCCAGCTCCTCATCTGCAAAACTACAAGAAACTGCAACAGCCAAAACTATAGGAGCTGCTTCTCCGGGTTTCACAAAATTCTGGCCCTTTGGAGAATGCAGTCTCTGGCTTCTGCTGCTGGCACCCATCCCACGGCCCTGGACAGAGCCCCCCACGTGCCCACCTGGTTCTTCACGGGTGTCACGTAGCCTCTGACACGCCAGTCCACTTCTGCTGGGGTCTTCTGAGCTGTCGATGCCTGGAAGGTCAGTGCTGGCTCCTCATGCTGCACTGGGCTGAAACCATTCAGGAGTTGGTTGAACTCCTCATCCATCTGTAGGTGCACATGCGTGTGTGTAGGGCCACCTGCACTGCTGCTCCCCATGGGCAGGTTGCACCCCAGGGAGCACCATCACTCCAAGCAGAGTAGGCTGGGTGCACCCAGCCCTCAGATCAAGTCCTTGGAGGAGGTGCACCAGCAAGTACCAGGTCCCCATAATGGTTCATGCCCAGGCGAAACGTATGCTGCCCCTGCGACTCCTCCCAGTTGTGCTGCTCAATGCGCCGCAGGTTCTTCTCCCAGACCTCCCTGCGGATGACCTCAGCCTCCTGTCAAGGGGCAGAGTGGACCTGGGGTCAGGAACGGCCCCCAGGAGCATCAGAAGGGACTTGCCATGTATGGACCCTTTTGAAGCTGACCCCAGGCTGTCAGGCCCAAGGGGAGCTGGGCATCACCAGGTCCTTGTGCAGCGGGTGCAGACCTAGACCTACCGCAGGGTACTCCTTGGCATATAGGCTCTTCCACCCTTCCCAGGCCTCCTCCAGTACAGGGTCCAGTGCCGTGATGTAGCCCAACAGGACCAGCAGCAGCCCCACTGGCACAGTCATGGCTCTGAACTGAGGGGAAAAGCAAAAGGAGGAATGAGGTAGGCCTGGGTAGAGCCCCATGGTTTCTCTACAGCCACTGAATTGGGCAGGATAAGTCCTTCCAGGTCTGGATTAAAGATGAGGGGAAGACAGAGAAAGGCAAGAGGCACATTTGTTCCTTCAGCTGGATCAACTTCTGTATGGACATGCGGCTGTTTTGACAGGAGCTTAAGAAGATCTTAGCTGTCTGTCCTTTTTGTGGTATTTAACTGTCCTTTTTAGGAGAGGAATGAATGTCTTCACAAGAAACTGGAGCCCCATCCTGTTCCCTGAGTGGCAGAACAAAGCAAATGCAGACAAAAGAGCAGTGAGAGAAGCAGGTACAGCAGCACCCAATGCTGCTCCGGAGCCAGGCTGGACACATCCCATCTGCCACCATGCAACAAAAGCCCCTTCACCCACCTGCAAACCTGCCTCCTGACCACATTATAGTGTTTGTCCCCACTTGCGCTTGGTAGCAGCTCAAGCGCCACGTCCCTCACCATAGGTCACCCAGGAGGCTTGCAGGCTGCAGATGGTGGAAGCTGCTGGCTGCAGACACACATCTCCACTCCTGTCTGTCAACTCAGGCAGCTCTGGGACACCCTAGTTTGCCCGCCCTTCCTGCCTTTCTATGCTCCCTACAGTCTCTCCACAATTTTTATTTGCAAAATCCCTTACTCAGGGCTGCTGCATTTCTCTGTCGTCACACTGCCTCGTGCTCCCCACCCCCTTCCTACAGCAGCGGCCACCTCATGCATTCCTGTTGACTGCACCACTAACACTGAGACTGCATGTTGGCATCTCCAGAACAAGGTTTGCCTAGCAGCCTGAGAGCTGCAGCCAGCCCTGAGAGCAGCACCAGGAGCAGGGATAAAGATATGTGCAATGCTTTCTGGAAAAAAAGAAAGGGGGAAAAATGCAGAGACCTTGCCCCAGCTTGTGCCTTTTGTTGGCTCTGCACAACCCTGGCTGAAGCACAGATGCATGAGGGAAGATCGGAGGGGAAGAAAAAGCTCTAGCATGAGGCTGGGAGTCAGGGAGGATGCCTATGGCTCAGCCTCTGCATCCCAGTTCAGAGCAACTTTGGGACTTGAGGCAAAACACAGAACCCAACACAGCAAGAGCCACAGCTGCTGGACTGGGACAATGCTGTTCTCACTTGAAAGCCAAGGGAAAGCTGCAACAGTCTCTGAGCAAGGAGCTTGAGCAAAAACCAGAGAAAAGAAGTTTGTCTACACAAGGAGGGGGGCAGCACTGCAGTGAGGATTCCATGGGCTGTGGAGCAAAGCATTGCATCTATCCCAGCTCAGAGTGTGCTGGAAGCAAGTGTATGCGTGCTTCTCCAAAAGTCCTCGGTGAGGATACGCCAAGATCAGTTTACACTTTGTGTTTTGCAGTCAGACATACATAACTCTCTCCCCCAATCCCCCACTATTACAGCCATTTGTCTTCCTCACATTGCTGCTGCACAGCCCACGCCTCCTTCGATAGAATCTGATGATCTTATTTTGCAGCAAATTCAGCCATCCCACAGGCATTGTTCTGCAGGGCAGCAACAGTGAGAGAACAGGAGTCAGGATGTGCCCTGAGCATAGCTTCCACTACTGCAGCTTTGAGAAATAGCCATCACCACACCTTTATTCCCCACACTTTAGGAATGGAGATGCTAGGAAGTTTTCCACTCGACCATCTTTCAGAGTGACAACAGCTTTCTGAGATAATTCTGTAGCTCAAGGAGCAGTTCAAAATGACTTATTTTTGAAACAAAACATCTGTTCTCCTCCACATCCTACACCTAAAAATAAAGCTCCATGTATTGGAGTTTCATGGGAGAAGTGCCTCCCAACAAACTCAGGCTTAGTACTGAGGAAGAGTACCTTCTACCCAGCTGGCCTCCCCAGCATCCATCACAATGCCCTCCACTTCCTGCAGCCGTTACCACTGACTCTCACAGGAAGTTAACTCAATGTTATACTGCAGCTGCAAATTCTCTATCCGAAAGAGCTACTTTGCTGCTTCATACTCCAACTCCCTGTCTCTCAGGACAGCTAGGTGGAAACCTCCTACACCATCTGTATTTTAATCTCATTACATATAGAAAAGCTTGGGTTTGTGGTGATTTTCCAAGTTAACGCCTCTCAGGATCTCAATACACAACAGAAGTAAACTTTTTTTTTTTTTTTTAATGGTTCCAAATAATCCTACCGCTTCAGAAGCAAGCTTGGAGGATCAAAGCAGCTGGGAGATAAACTGTTCATCTAGAAGAGTTTAAGAGTGCATTGCAGACATTTTAAGAATACTTGTTCTTTTGGCACAGGAAGAAAACACTTGAGATTAAGACTTAAAATAAGCAAACTCCACAAAATAAAGCTTCTTACCATGTACCGGCACCCACCCAGCTGTGAAGGGAGTGACTTTTCTCTCTGTGAGGGAAAGCACACCCTTCTCTCAAGGAAGCTTCAGAGATGTGCAACTTCCTCCATTACCTCCCCTTCCGCTGTTCCTCAGACCTCAAAGCTACACCAGAAGGTACTCAGCAGGGTGCAAGATAGAAGCTAAAGCATGACCAAGAGAGCCAGGCAAATTCCTGGGCAAGAAATACGCTCACAGCCATATTGAGAAAACAAAATCCTCCAGCTGTGAGATGCTTTGCATTTAAAATGAAATTCTCTAGCTTACATCCTCAGGGCATTTAATAGTAGTTTTAATTAATGCTCAACTCTAATACAGAAAGAAAAGCAGCAAAGCCAGGTTTTGTAGGCTTTAAGTGCCACAGAAAGCAAGCATGGGCGAGTATTGGGATACTTGCAAAAAGCAGCTCTACGCCTGGCACCGATGTGTCCTCCAAGCGTGGGATCAGAGCTGCCAGTGCTTGAAGACGAGCCGCCAGGCTGCTACCTGTGCTGCAGAGCAGCTACAACCCCAAGTAGTCAGAGGGAGCTGGGATGCTGGGTGAGGTTCCTATCTCCACGGCTGAGGCTATTTGCAAGCACAGGGAGCCTCACTCCAGGTCATGCAGTGCCTGAATGGGAGAGCCAAGAACAGTCCAGGATTCCCAGCTCTCCACCCTGCAGCATCTTCAATTGCTGGATTGTGCTTCCTTTGAGGAACGTCAGGGCTTTAACATTCTCTCCACTGGCTGACACAGAAACCAAAGAAAGCACTTTGCTTTTACCACAGAAGCAGCTTTACCCATTGTGAGACAGATGGTGCTTCCTCCCAAGCCTTCTCCCATACTCCAAAAAAATACAAATGCCAACCAGTGCATCTCTTTCCCATATTTTAATGAGTTGCTACATCTTACACTCATAATTATAAAAGAATAAGAATCCATAAAAATATTTTCTTTTCATAATACGCACTTAAAATACTCCAGGGCAAGTCAATGTGGTTCATTTGGGTGTTGTTTTTTTCTTCTCTTTTCATCCCTGGCAGAACCCTTGGCGTGAGGGGGGGGGGGTATGTGCTCCCCTGAGGTGCAATTAATCAATCCCCCCTCCCCAGAACTGCAGTTCCTGTTGACCAGGAAAATAAAAACCAAAAGAAAGCATACGCTGAGTAGATGGGTAAGGGGAACAGTCACTGACCTGCAGAGAACTGAAGCACAGCCAATTTCAGTGCACATCTGAAAGCTCAAGGTTTCAGGGAAGGAGAAGGTGGGATCAGGAGGCAGCATAAAGAATGGAGGGAGGAAGGATCTGCATAAATATTATCCATCTTGTGTTGCAAAAAAAAAAAAAAAAAAAGCTGTTATCTCCAGAGAGATGATCTCTGGTTGTAGCCAGCTGCTTCAGCTGCCGTGCTACCTTTTGGCACAACTCTGGTTGTGAGCGGCCATTAGAGAAAGGCATGAGAGGGCATCGTTACCAACCCCAGCCACTTCCTCCATCTGCTCTGCAAAATAAAACTGAGAAATAGAAATGACTAGTGTTGCATGCTTCTGTAGAGCTCTTCACATCCCAGGGCTCCACGCTGCTGCAGCAGGGCTAGGACACAGCACCAGCAATCAGCTGCCCTGGGGCTTTAACAATATGTTCTTCTCTCTTCCCTCCCATTCCTGGCTTAAGGCAGCTTGCTTATTCAGCTCTTCTATTTCCAACACAGGCACCAAGTTCTTACAGGTAAGAATACATGAACTGCAGATGTGCAGTGGAAGGGAAAAGGATGGGGGACAGAGAGAGATGGATGCAAACCTCAGTCTTAGGAGACAGACCACTGTCCATCAATCCCTAGGATAGAGGGAGTAGCAGCAAAAAAAAAACCAAAAAACACGTTAACAGCTGGGCTGGAAGAGAGAAAGAGGATGAGCAGCTGAGCAGAGGCAGACCTCCAGCTTGGAAAGTGAAAGAAGGTGGCACTGTCCAAAGGGAAAGTACCTTCCATTCTCCTCCCTTATTCAGGGCAAGACACCCTGACATGGGCACTCAGCCATTTGTGCTCTGGGTTAGATGGCTGTCAAGGGAGGCGGTAGTGGCTGGGCACAGGAGGGGTGAAGTGAGCTGTCAGCATCCAGTTTGCAGAGGCATGTGCTCTCAGAGGTATTCTTGTAGAAAGTGCAGCAGTGTGATTTCATAGTGCTCTCCTGACTCAGGGCACCGAATACTGTGTCTCTCGTTGGGGTAGATCTGTGCAGAAGCAGAGATGAGACAATTAATCAGGAGTTGCTCATTCAGCATGGACAAGCCTCCCCTTCACTTTGTGCCCAGTCTTCATCAGGACAAAGGAGTGCCAGGAGATGTGTAGAGCACCCAGCCTGCCTCTCACTTCACTGCAGTGATGTGCACTGCCACTCTGCTCAACAAAGCAGCCACCTCTGCTGCCCAGAACCATGTGAGACAGCAGCAGTTCCATGGGAGAAGGAAAGTTCCAGGCTTGAGGGCAGGAGCCCTATTTGCCAATGCTTTTAGACACAGGTCACATCAGCTAGCAATGAAGCAGTTACAGTGCCACCTCCCGGTCACCCGTTCAAGTCAAACAAGGCATTTACTATCAACTGTGTTGCAACAAGAACAACACGTGGAAGCACCTGCATCTATCTTCTCCCGCACTCAAGGCAGGAAACAGAAAACTATCTTGCTAGATTTAACTAACCTTCCCACTTCACTCTTGTTCTCCCTACCTGAAGCTGGTAAGGTTTTCCAGCCCGGATTAACTGTGATACCAGGAAGTTTGTGTGAAAAAAGTGCACATTTTCATCCAAAAAGCCATGGAGGATCAGCAAACGATTTGGCCTGAAGATGAGATGAGAGAGAATATGAGAATCCAAACAAAAAGCTCTGAAGTGAGTCTGAGCAAAGAGCTGCCATTCGGCAAACTAAAAACTGAACAATGACCAGGCAGCAGTCAAAATAATTTTATGCCGCAGACGTGATCTTCAACCCCTCCACCACTGGCAAAAGAGGCTGGAGATATGATGCCCCAGGCTGCTGGGAAAGGCAGCAACCAGCCTCATAAGTAAAAATAAAACCACCGAATTCATCCATTCTTTTGGTATTCAGCAGAGGTGCAGCTGATGGCACCACACAGCATCTGGGAGCAGGTTTTCAGCAGATTACAGCCCCACAGTACTCACTCATTGGGAAGCTTTTCTACATGTAATGCCACAGAGCCAGCCTCATAACCTTGCTGGTTGTTTTCTGGGATATCCATGTACCGCTCAGTATACCCGGTGTCATATGCCATCCAAACTGTGACAGGAGCACCTGCTATAGCAATCTGTCGAACAAATAGGTGGCAGGAGACAACTTCAATTATCAAGTACTAAAGAGCTCAAGTATTCTCTGCTTCCTTGATGAAGGAAGGAAAAGAAAAGCTCTGGACAATTCTGTTGCTCAGACCAGGATTCTTCCACAACAAAACCCACATAAAACCCAGATTCCAACTCATGCTGTTTCTCTTGTAACCAAAATCAGGCAGATTCTATCCTAACAGCACTAAAGGCTTCCCCTTTCAAGGAAAACAGGTGGAATAGATCCAGAAACCTGCTGAAGACTTGGGAAAGGCATTAGGAATAGTGTATCAATCATCTCATTTAATAGTATGCCAAGTCCTCCACCAGTAGTCTCTGGGGTGTGATTCCATCCCAGAGACCTCATCCTCTTTATGTCTCAGAAAGTACAACCTGCAAGCAGAATGCAGGGCTGTATGCTAGAGCTAAAGGCAGGCAGGACTGAGGGACATTTTCGCCTGGCTTTTTTGTTTGATGTTTCTGATGGACAACTCCAGATACCAAGAGCTACAGAAGCTGAGAAAGCTTGAGTCCCAAGATAATGCTCCACCACATTTGGACTTACCTTAAAGACATTGGGTTTACAGATGAGACCCATGAGGGAGAGAAAACCCCCATATGACCAGCCATGTATGGCTACTCGACTCAAGTCAATAAACCCGTATTTTTCTGCTACATAATGTAAACCTTCCACTTGGTCCTCTATTTCCACCTGACCCTAAAGAGCAATAAAAAAAAAAAAAGCTGAAGTTAGTGGCTTTATAAGCCTGAAAACTTAAGGAACCAATAAGGCACAAGTAATGCTCATGCAGGCATACATTCAGCCACATAGCCTTTTTTGTTTGATGTTTTTTAATCAAAAATTAATCAAAAAAGTACATTACCATTTGGTTTTTCAGGGCTCCTTCAAATCTGAGTCCTCGCTGGCATGAACCCCTTCCATCAATCACTACCACAGCATAACCTAGGGATGCTAGTGTGTTTAGCCGTAAGTATTTGATTCCTTTAAAGGAATTATTCACCAGCTGCACCTGCAGAAGATAGAGATGTTTCAGAACCAAGCAGCTGCCTTCCACTATCTTCCTCTGTCTCACTACACAGGATGGTGAGCAGGACAGCAGCCAGACAGATAAATCAGTCTAAATGCTTAAAAAATCATCTCAGGTTTGAGGTAGAGGTCAGAACATAGATTCAGTTTAAGTCCTGATACATGACTGAGCTACACAGAACTCTGCTCTGGACAGCAATCCCATGGCCATTACCAGCAATCAACCATCTGGACTATTACCTGAGGGCCTCCATACACAAAGAGCACTGTGGGATGCTTCTTCCCAGGCTGGACATCGTGAGGTTTGTAGATCATTCCGTAGAGTTCAACATCTGACTGAGTACGGAAGTGAAAGATCTCAGGTGGGATGTAATCTGGGGGACAACCTGCAGAAGCAAGTTCACATAATAGCAATGCAATAACTAAAGCAGGCTCTGTCTCCTACTCAGTCTGAAAAACCTCATCCTCTTAGCCAGGGCTCTTTCAATACCCAAACCACAACAAGACTTATCATTGCCTTTCAGAGAAACCTCCCACTCAGAAACAACCAAACTCTACCTTCCTACATAGGTCAATAGGCCATATATACAGAGAAGAGATCACCCATAAACATATTCAGCTGAGAATCTTCAAATAAGGCATGCTGTGCTGTAACTGTAAGACTTGACAGGTTAAGAGCAGACATGGGTCAAACAACAACACATTGTGCAGGACTTACTGGCTGCCTCCATCATGCTAGCCCAAAACTTGGGTTGCTTATGTAGCGGATCATCATCGGAGCCACTGAGCTTGTAGACATGCACGCAAGGTGGAGTGCTCACACTGCTGTAGTGGCTGATGAACATGTCAAAATTCTACAGGTGGAAGAGGAAGAGTTAGGGGAATCGAGGTCTTTCATTTCCCACAACCAGCCTCCTCCACGCTGTTCTTAGATTAGAGCTTCCACATCTCAAGCAACCAATACAAAAGCCCCAGGTAATCACTGCATGACTTACTACCATTCCCTGTCAGACAGGAGACAAGCGCATCTTGTGTCTAAACAGCATCACAGAATGTCCAGGGTTGGAAGGGACCTCAAAGATCCTGAATCTCCAACCCCCCTTCCAAATGCAGGGCTATCAACCTTCCCATTTAATACTAGACCAGGCTGCCCAGGGCCCCATCCAATCTGGCCCTGAACACCTCTAGGGACAAGACATCCACCACCTCTCTGAGCAGCACCTGTTCCAGCACCTCACCACCCTCTCTGTGATTTCTTTGTATCTTCTGTGAAGAACTTCTTGTAAACAAGATACAAGAACAACAAACCTGGCTCATAGAACAGCTGTGGGAGAAGCCTGGTATTGTAAGTCGCACAATTTCTCCAGGAGACTCATAGCTGACTACATAGAGATGGTGCTCCAATGGGGTGTCCTTTGTGCCTTGGAAATACACCAGCTTCGTTGCCTCATTGACCCAGATCTATATGAAGAAGAGAGGGCTTGTTGACAGAAGGATGACATCTACTGCTGCTTTTTTCATTCAGTCTGTCCCAAGGCTTAAAAACACCAATAGACTATGACAGACTACTTACAGCATTACGGACATACACAACATCCATTTATATGACAGGCTGGAATACACACACGTAGCACTTATGGAGAACCATATGTAATCCAATGAAGTAATAAAAAGAAACCAAAGTGGTGGTGTTCAGTTTTTTGCTTTTTTTTTTTTTTTGAGAAACTCGAAGCATTTGCTTATTAAGGAGCTTAAAAAAAACCTGAGCTCTCTTTGGGGTTTAAACTGAAAGATTCTGTGCTTAACTTTGGTGTCCTTCCACATTATGACTGGCATTTTAAGGGTATATATGTATTTTTCCCCATCAATTGTGATAATGAATTCCCATCTGTGGAAGGAACAGTTTAATAGCCTCAGCAATACCAAACGTCAAGTCACATTAACATAACTTCTTAATGTCCACATACATCAGTTTCTAAAATCCACCTGGGTCAGCCAGGAATAGAGGTGACAGCTTTTAAATACTGAATCGATCCAGCAACAGAAACTGAACTGTTTCTACCTTACAGTTTCCAAATGCTGAAGCCCAAGTGCTCTCTCTAACTAACATAGTTTGAAGAGAACTGCAGACAGTACAGGGAAGCAATATCCAACCTAATTGGCCAGGAAAACAGGTAGAGCCCTGTGGAGCAACAAATGCATCAAAATAATTGCTACTAATACAATTTGAGACATAGCACATGCAGGGAAGAGCTGTGACCAAAATCAACAGCATGTACAGTGAGAATCCACGTAGGGAGGGACAGCAGGTTAATTGCAGATTGAAAAAAAAGCAGCAGAAACCAAATGCACAAAGCTGTAGGCTTTTTTAAAAAGTGTGAAGTGGAAATCTAGATTAATTGGGAATGAACAGACAAGGCCTTCATTTTAACAGAAATCACCTGGGAGCATTAAAGATCAGACTCAGAGTTAATTCCTGAAGCAAAATGGAACAAGGCTCTACAAGATAAAACAGATACACAGTTCCTTCATATTCTAAATTGCTTTATATTCCCCAGCTGCCTTCTTCCTGAAAGGATCAGCTAGAGACCAAGAGTTCATTCTAAGCGCTAGGACATATTCCCAACTCACAAGTACTCATTGAGGTTAAAATGCTTCAGCAAAGACAGTAAGCCCAAGCTTCTCCACAAAAAGTTCTTTGTTAATGTTGAACATCAGACTTGCGTCCATTTCTATGGTTTGCCTCACTCATGGGATTGACTTAAAGAGCAATCTGGAGTCTGATTAAAAACACAATCAGTTCAATGTACAGTGGACTACAGCACTTCTGGGGAAAGCACAGGCAGCAATAAATTTTAAAAATAATAATAAAAATACAAAATTAAACTTAAGTAGTTCTAGTTGGTTCCAAGTGTAACAGAGGACATAAGCCAGGACTGTGGGCAGATAAAGCAGAACTGTAATACTGCAAGAGAAAATAACCACTACCTTTGATCCATGCCTTGCTAGCACCTCCCATTCTCCACCAGTCAGGGCAACCTCCTCTTTGATAGGACATTTGAAATCATCTAGAAGAAAATACATGAAAATAAATAATCTTCCCCAAAACAAGCAAAGTGAGCCCACAAAGCTGATGCAATGTCAACGCACAGATCTTACCCTCGCTGTGGACGTATGGCTGTACCCAGTCATAGCTGCCTTGCTTTAGGACCACTGTGACTCTGTACAGGTGACAGAAACCTGTTTTGCATTCATTGGCTCGGATAAAGCACAGTTCTTCCTCCTCTCCTTCTGGTTGTATGAAAGGATAGAAGATATCATGAACCTGTCACATGAGACAAGAGATCCCTGAGTGATTTCTATTGACAGAACAATGCACAGCCAGCCAAAAGATACACTGATAAATTACTGTGCTATCAAATGAAAGGAGCTGGGCAGGGGCAAATATCTCAGACAAACTGCTAGTGATAAAAAGCAATTCTATACTTTCCAATTACCACAAAACGTTTGTGCCTGTGCAGAAGAATGTGTTCTCTGAGCTCTTCATGACTATCAGCAAAGCAGCATTCACCAGTCACGCCTCTGAGCAAGACAAGTCAGCTAAGCGTGTCCCATATGGCAGTCGCTATTCTGACACCTTGGGAATGCCAGTTTGAACTTCAGGTCCCTTTGCCACTTCAGCACCAAGGTGCTAATGTTAAAAGCTCAAATTTATTTCCTATTCCGTTTTCATCACTCACCTAAACATATTTAAATTCCACAGATTAGATTTGCTTGTAACCCAAGAAGCCATTTAACCTTCTAATAAATCACCCCTAAGAGAACTGCAGTGTTACATACAAAAATGTTGGTGTCCTAAGTGCCTGCCTTCACTGAGAATGCTACTAAGGATTAGGTAGGATTCTCTTATGTTTCAGTGCTGAGTGCATGGAAGTCCTTTTCAAAGCTTTATCAGACTTCCTGAACTAACACCAAACCTGGCAATACTGAGTAGCAAAGCAGTCTGCTGGAACATGGACTAAGATGGATACACAGCCAACGCAAAAATAGTTAAGTGCAGGAGAGGAAGGGACAAGCCAGTGCCCTCTCCCAGCCCCGAGCTGCTTACATTTATCCACACATCAGTGATTTCTTCATAGATAACAAACGGTTGAACATTTTCTGGCACAGTTTTGGCAAATTCAGCACGCTGCTCCTCACTTTCTGGGACTGGAATAAAGAGCGCTGGAGGCAAAAGGATAAGCTGCAGCCGCTGTTGAGGTCTGTCTAGAAACATAGCCCAAGCACTGCGGAAGGAAGTTGGAGGTAAAGGTCAGCACCACAGAATAGATGTCACTTTATACCACTCAGAACATGCGATCCTTTTTCTCCCACTGGTAGAAGGGATTTAAACATCTGAATGCAAAGCTTTCCTCATAATTGCTTCTTTCTAATCTCCTGGAAGCTTTGCTAACAAGTATGTTTTGCCAGACATCTCTGGTGTTTCATGGGGATATCATTCAGACCAGATGTCTGACACACTGGGCAGTGTGTCTATCCCAAGAGACCAGGTAACACGTCTCCAGAATACAACATTTCCTTGGTCAACCCTTCCATCAAGAAGCACTGTTTATTTTCTAGTGAGCTTCTGAGATCAAAAGAAACTAAAGTGATTCATTTGTAGTTTCTCTGTTGTACACTGCACTAGCAGGGAAAGGCACAGACCTAAGACAACTGCCAAGTGAAGGAGTCGCTTCAGTCTCAGCCTTGTTCCTCTCCGAGGAGAGTCATTTGAAGTGGTGCTGCACTGCAGGCCTCTCAACATGACAGATGTAAAGCCACTGCTGCACAGTGCGGCTACCCCAAGGCCTGGAAGTGCATCAAGGGAAGTTCCATCATTAACACAGACTTTCAAAAGAGCCAGTTACCACCTGCGCATTGTCTGCAGATTTCATGAACTGATATATTCAGCACGTTTTGACAAGCTCTGGTGCAGAACATAAGAGTCACTGATGCGATTACCTTCTGTAAAACTGTATGAATTCAGTTTCCAAAGCAGACAGTTATTAATAACAAGTTACAGTGGTCACAGAGTAGTTCTTCCCCACTGTGCAACATGGAAACTGCCCACGTTCCCATGACATATTTGCATCGATCACAAACAGGACCAATGGACAACAACAGAACTGCTTACAGTACATCCTTATTTTCAACAGGAACAATGTAGTATGGGTGCTGTACATCTTAAACCCCTAGGACTGCTTACTTGACTGTCATTTAACTTTGTGGTTGTAGCTCTGCATTAAAACCCACAGCTTGTTATCTGAGTCTACATCTGATTATTTCCTACCAGTAGGATGTTAAAACAATGAAGAAATCAAATAGTCTTGTGCCATCTGTGACACTCACAACTTTAAGAACTGGTGAAGACAACATTATAAACTTGGCTTCAATATAACACAATCTATTGTATGGCTACAGCACCACACAGTCTTGAAGGCCTGTGAGAGTTTAGCCTGGGAAGCCCTTGCCAGCATTAGTTTGGAAAAAAAAACTTATGTACTATTTGCCATCTCGAGTCCATCCAGCACGGGCAATGTACTCCACAGTCGGGAATAATGCAGCAAATGGTTGCACCAGCTCCTTCTCTTGAGCACAGACGATCTGCAACAAAAGGAAGGTTCAATACCAAATCAGACTGTTACCAGGCCTTCTCCTATGGAAGCTCAGAGAAACGGGAGAATAAGGAAGTTGTAACTATTGACTGGCCTCATCAAGGGGAAGCAAACCTTTCAACAAAATGGCAAGAATAGAAAGGAAAAACAAGTTTCAAAGCACCATGATTTTGGCATCCAGCCACAGAAAGGATACAACTGTGGAATGAAGTCCAGGATTAGATCCAGTTTTAACCCTGCAAGCTCCGCCACTGATGCTGTGGTACGTCAGGCTCACTCTGCTTCTCACCTCCCTCCCCTCTCCCAGCTGCTTTTTAAGCAGCATAATTCTTTTCAGCCTTTTAAAAGTTGTTCTTTTTCTAGCTACCTACATTCAAGAATTAGGTGCTACAAGAGGAAGAAAAGAAAAGCTAATGCTATCACAGATTCTTAAGTGGCCTCTTAATTCTAAGCAACTTCAGAAGCAGTCAACCCCTCAGAGCAATAATACACTCTGTGACTTACCTTACCCTTGCTGTCTGTTTTCAATTCTGCCAGTTTTAATGTAATCTTGGGGTTTTTGCTGCCTGCAAAGAAGTGACAGAATATCAAGATGACAAGCCTGAACACCCCCAGAATTATACTTGCTACAGTTTCTGGACAGGAACCAACTCTGGTCCTGCTAAAATAGCTGGAAGTCAATACACAAATAAGAAATTATGAATGCAAACGATACTGTGTTCAAATGAGGCATTTTGGGTATTGGAAAAGTTTGCTTTTGCCTTGCCTGAATAGATGCACACATTCACAGGAAGAAGTGATTAAAAATATATTCCAGAACATGCCATCAGATATATTTCATTTTCTCAGCAATCCTTTCATTTAAGGTGAACTTTAAATCCTGCTCCCTCTTGTAGAAGGGGAGGGGCTCAGAGACTCAATTAGGCCTCAACATTTACAACCAGCTTCTACATCCTGGTAAGAACCTACATTAATCATGAGACGTTTATAGCACAAATTCCACTGCTTCAGTTAGCAGGAGCCAAAAGTTGCATTAGCAGCCCCATGGTACTTCACTTACCTGTCCTGGGGTACCGATAGGAATCTGTTTTTCTCTCCTCCAGAGCAGGTGAAGGAACGTGAATTATCTCCACTTCTGACTCATCCACTTCCTCATACAAGATTCGCAGTGTTTTTAAATTCTCTGAACCTAGGAACAGACAGTAGGCATGCATGCTACAGTGTTTTCCAAGTGTTTCTAGCTTGTCTGGAGCACTACAGAAGTCCACTCTGGTGCAAAAGTTTTGTACGTGTTCTATATAATTACATCTTCTAGTAACCACGAGTAAATACTCTGTGCATAATTATACTCTCTCAGTGTTATGTTCCTTCTGGTGGCCTACCCAGAAAAAGATCAAACCCGGACCAAAGGAAAACTATGCTCAAAATATGATTCACAGCAGAGGCCAGCAGTAGTAATAGTGTCAGAGTTTGACATGCAGAATACTGACCTTCTGTGGAAGACGTAGGACACCACCAATAGCCTGTGAACCTATCAAATTCCTCCTGAATGACAAAAGTGGCTACACCAGCAGACTTAGGGTCATCGAGAACATTGGATAAGCCTGGAAAGGAGCAAAGAAAGAGGGCACCTACATCTTCTTGAAAACAACTGATTCAGAAGAAAAGTGCGTTTGTGAGAAATAAGCCATAAAGACATTAGCCCTTTCATCCACAGTTTTTATCAAAACTTTCTTTTAAATATAGTAAAAAGCACCAATTACCTTTATGGCAATATGTCATTCGCTTCTCTTCTCCTGTCTCTATATTTGCTACCCACAAATCATTGTTATTAATGAATGAAAAGAAGGCGGGGTCTGCAGGGCAAATCTTGGGATCCATTCGTGGGCCTGTACACTGAGTCTTGATCTCCAGAGGCTTCATTGGAGACACCTACAGCAACAGAAACACAAACACCTGTGTACCAAATCAACAACCAGCTTCACACTTAAAGACCTACAGCCCACAAAATGAGGGCACAGTCCTAAGAGGACACAGGAGAAATGACCATAACCAAACACGTGCACACATGCAGCTGCTACCAACCAAAAACACTTCAGATGTCATTCATAGCTCTATTAGCAAACTCACCATGAAACCATTCTTGCCTCCATCTCGGCAATGAAAGAGGCTGTTGCTGGCCTGGAAGAGGAACAGGCCACTTTCACTGTGGAAATCATAAGATGTTATACCAAAGACACCAAGTCTCTTGCGCTCTCTTAAGAGTTCTTCTTCTCTAGAATACATCCCATGATGAGGGGTTGCCTAGTATTGAAATAAAAGAAAATCCAAGAAAATCTGCAAGGAGAGAAACTTCCGTAGAGCAGAATCTGGCACCAGGTAGTCTCTAAATGCTGAAAATACAATTCACCAGCCCCAAACAGTCAACAGTCTTACCAAACAGGTTCTTCCACAACTACTGTATTTCAGGCTACAAGTGTGGTCCAGTAGGTCTAATCTAACTGCAAGCCCCAAAGTTCTCTTTACATAAGAGATGAATTGCCAATCTACAGTTTCTGCAGTTGGCACTTAAGTATTAACTGAGGACAGCTGCACTTGCACTGCTTATGCAAATCAGATGTAACCAATTAACTTAACGACACTATCTACAGCCTTTCACAAACAGTTTCCATGTCAGATAATGCATACAAAACCTCTTCCAGGGATCTTGAATTACCCTGAAGGGGACTAGCAATCCAAATGGGTCAAGACAGCTGAATTCTTTTCAAACAGAAAGCTTTCCAGAAAAGAAGACAGACCAATGTCCTTGCTCCTAAATGCTTATTGACAAAAGACACAGAGATAGAGGAAGGGGAGATTTCATCCCTCTTTCCAGTTCTCTTGCAACAGAGTATAGGACAGAAGCAGCTGTTTAATACAGTTTTCCCAGCTTCCTTAAAAGCAGAAAAGATAGTAGGTATTACAACACGCCTGTTAATGAGCATCTGAAGAGCTCAGACAAGGCACAGAGGAAAGGTGCACTGTCCTGATAGCTTTTAGTTTGCAGTGGATCACATGCTAGTTTACAGACTTCTTTACTAGATCACCCCTTTGCTTGCCACATCACCTGCTGTTTCATACTCACTAGCAGGAGCACACAGGTGCCTATCTCATATTATGAAATAAAGCAGTCATCAATACAACATCCCTACCACTACCATTCCATGCCTCACAGCATGGTAACACTCACCATATCAACCCCATAACATCAACCAATTTTCCCAAGAATTATCAACTCAAGGTCTTCACACTTCTGCTTACCTGAAAGTGATCCAGCATCTGTTTCCATGACAAGAGTAATAAGGCCTCCTTCCGTACCTTTTTGGGAATCTCTGAGTAAAGAAGTGAATTTTCCCTGCTACCATATGGCATTCCTATTAAGAGGACAAAAGCATCATTCTGTTTAAGATTATTTACTGGACAAAGATGACTCAGATCAGACTGAAACAAAGCCTTTAGTAAGATAACTTTATTGCAGCCTCCCATTACCTAAAGGGGACCTACAGGAAAGAGCAGTTGGGACGCTATCAGAGAGTGTAGTGATAGGACAAGGGGTAATAGTTTAAAACTAAAAGACAGTATGTTTAGATTAGATACTAGGAAGAAATTCTTCACTTTGAGGGTGGTGATGTACAGAAACATTTTCCAGAGAAACTGTGGGTGCCTTATCTCTAGAAGTATTGAAGCTCAGGCTGGATGGTTGCTTTGGGCAATCTGGTCTAGCAACGGTGCCCCTGCTCATGGCTGAGAGGTTGGACTAGATCTTCCATTGAATAGTTTCAACTGGAAGGGACCATTATTCTGTAACAGAGAGGTAAGGTGTGTTCAGGGGCTTGTACCAGCTGTCAATCCCAAGCAGCTCTCAGCTCAAGTACAGAATACTATCTAACTACATTAGCTGTAAACACATATTTCCCCAGGCAATATTTAACACTAACCAACCTTTTCAGAGTTGGTTACTTCAGACTTTCCTCTCTCTGTACTGTTCAACCCACACCCTAAATCCACTCTAAAAGAGCCACAGCCTGAGTGAGAGACTCAAGATTATCATCCACATTTCTCAGCCAAAAATTCACTGTAGGAACTAGTTCAGATCAATACATTAGCCTACAAGAGGGAAAGAAAAAACCTGGAAGCTCTAGAGACTCCGTTCAAATGGAAAACGTTATTTAGCCAAGACATCTTGTCATCTTATGTAAGCTTTTGATTATGGCCAAATCATATAAAGCTGTTGGCTTTCATCCAATTTCCAAACCAACCAAGAAAATGTAGAATATCCATGACAAAGATTTTGGCAGTTTCAGCAGAATCAAAGACCATAAACATGCCCTCTAAATTTGCTTAAGTGATGCCCTGGGTCAAAATTTAACAGAGAAAATATGCCCCAATACTGTTTACTCTGTAGGTGTTCAGGGAGAATAAAATTTCTGAGCTGTTAACCTAGCAGTACAGTTACTTAAAACTGAAACAGTACCAAGTGCATAGGAAGCAAAGCAATATGTGAGCATATAATCCTCAGAAATACAGATACGCCAAAGAGCTGAGTATGTGATGTTTAATATAAGCAGCATCTGCCATGATTCAACACAGAAGTATACGGGGACAGCCCAGGAATGATTTAAGATGTCCAAACAGAACAAAGTGCAGATAAGAACTAGTTACTATATAAAGATATTTGGCACTTATGTGACTGTGACCTGGACTTCATTTCTCCTTATTACATTAGTACTTTATACAACAGCCTCAAGACTACAATCAATCAGCATTTACAAGGAAGATACTGCCTTCAACTCCAAAGACATTATATTGTGCTCCCAAGTGAAGAATAGCATTCAACCCCTGCATTAAAACTCTTCAAAAGTCTTCATGCCACTCCTTGGCATACAGTCATTAACAGTATTTACATTAAGTTTTGGAAATGCTACTCAGCATTGAGACAGTAATAGTAGAACAATGTCAAACATGAACCCATGAAATGGGTTCCAAATATTTAACACATTGTACACAGCATGCAATTTAAAAGGTGCTTATTATGGCAATAAAAATAATAATCATTTCTTTGTAAGAAATGCACGAGAAGAGGTAACTCAGCATTATCCACTAGGTAACAATCTTATGTTATGAGTCAACCTGCAGTATGCCCAGCCCATTTTCAGGAAACACTGAAAAGACATTGGTGCATCTTCATTACTAATTCTGGCTCCTGTAATAGTTATACCTCCGCAGAAAACCTACAGCCACTAGCTGCTCTTGTTGCCATAATCATACAACAGAATAAAAAATACTGCAAATTAGGCACACATAATGTTAATTCTTTAGTCATCCAAACTGTATCAAAGTCAACTTGGCTTTGAAACACATTCGGTTTTCAATTAAGTCTCACTATTCAAACTCAACAAGAAAAGCAAGTTAACTCAGGAAACTGCCATTTATAGTAGCACTTGTGTAATAAGAATGTACAAAGGAATGTAGCAAATCATCACTGACATACAGGAGCTGCTCAATCAAATCCAGCATCCCACATTGACCCAGAATCAAGACAAGAAAAAGAAGAAACAACAACAACAACAGAGTCACTTCAGGAAAGCAGCCAACTATATGGAGCTGTGCACTGGGAAATTTCTTTACTGGTCTGGTAAAGACCAGCTCACGCCCCAGAGCGTAACAAACCCTTTACAGTCTATAAAGCTTCCCATGTTACTAACCACAAAATTATCCAGTTACTAAAATCCAGCCACTCTGCCACTAATTACATCATAGTTCCAACTATAAGCATCCCATTCAGCACAGTATTCTTCTGTCCTTCAATCCTACTGCACGGAAGGAGATTTCTCTACAAATATCAATAACAGTTAATTTCTCTCACATCTTTTTCCATTCCCTATTCTTCAAAGCATCCTACCTATGTGCTGCTTAATACAGCAGGGAGAAAATAAGCTGCTGTTGCGTGCACCTCCAAAACATCTTATAACTTGTAACATATAGTTAGTAATTACTAATGGTGACTTGAAAAGTCAGCCTAGTTAATCTTTTAGGTAAACCCCACTTCTAAGCTCCAGAAGCACAGGACAGCCCTGAGTTTGAAAAGCATCCCTTCTCTTAACCCATCCTCTGTACTGACCTTGAGTTACCAAGTGAACACTGGAGTCATACTTCTGTCACTAGGTAGATCTGACTAGGTAGCACTTTTTTTTTTGTTAAGTAGTCTGACTTTACGAAAGCCTGTGCTTGTCTGAGACTGGAGAGGTCTCTGCTCAGTTCTAGGATCTGCTATAGATTTGAGTGTGTTCTTCTTGAGCAGTGTTACCTAATCTCAGTTCCTCTATCTCAAACAGAAATATTTTCCATCCTTTTCCTCATCTGTTTAAATTGGAAGCTCTCCCATAACACTTTCACACCCAGTGTCTGGCATGTCAGCTTACCCAGGTAATAAAGACGATGAGAGTGAGGGCTGGACTCTTCGGTTTTCCGGACAAACTGGAAATCATGGGGAGCTTTGTTCACTATCATGCCCGAATACTTCCTGCTGCTGTGAATAATGTCACGCAGCCCATCCCAAGAATGCTTTTGCACCTGGAATTCGGAAGGCACATCCTCCATCTCGACCACTTCAGAGCTGTCTGATAGCGTGTCCACTGCAGTCATTGTTTCTTCCTCAGAACTAGACAAAAAACTGAGGGAAGAGTTGAGGGGGAGAATTAAGCCTTAAAATCAAGCAGCCCATCTCCCGTTCCATATCAAGTCCTGTAAGCAAAGATATTAAGCCCAAAAGATTTATTACCAGGACTAGTTCTAGAAGTAAGCTGTTAAACACAATCCACGTGGTAGACTCTGGCATAAAAAAAACAATCAGCATGACTCAAAGGAAAACAGCCCCAGGAATTTGGACAAAAAGTCATCAAAGCTATGACCTATGGGCATATAAACTTAAATCCTGAACACCGCACAAGTGGAAGTCCCCTTCCTGCCCTGAAGGAAAGCTGGCACAACACTTTATGACCATCTAGGTTTAAATGCAACAGCTCACTTACCTGAATAGCTATTGCAGCCAGGAACGATGACAAAACAGGAAGAAACAGTGCAATTGACTTTGTTGACCAGAAAGAAGACAGCAGTAAGAGACCCTTGTTATATCCTGCAAAACGTAGTACACGCATTTCCAAACTAGCAATTATTTATTGAATGAGAGTCTACAAAAAGCACCTCCATGAGCAACTACAGCAAACTTTGATTTGAGGAGATGTTAACTAACTGACTTGCCCACAGTCAATGATGTAATCTACTACAAAGCAGGAATGAGCCTAGGACTAGGGAAACCAGTTTACATCACCTCATTAGAGAAGCTGGATTTCCCTGCACAAGGACATTTCAGTAGTTTTGGGCTGACCAGCCTATATCAGGGTGCATCTGGAAGAATGTTACTGATAATTTCAGAATAACTTTGGTTTACCAGAAAAAAAATACTAGGGCTAGAGAATTTTGCTCCATGGAGACAGAATTGCTAGCTTTGATTCAGCATCAAAACGGCAAACCAATAACTAAGTATTAAACCAGAGAAGGCCTTGTTCTCTGCAGCCCCAAGGTGTACATTTTCAAATCAGGTTTTTCTCAAATGCCACTTGTCACTGGGGATGGTCACCTGCATTCCAAGCAGAGAACTGCTTCTGAGATGTAGCTATCATGCCTACATATTAAGGAGGAATTAAACAATCTTGAACAACCTCAGCCTCAAGAGTGTGCACAGCGAGTTCCTTCCCAGTGAGTAGAACCAAAGGAAAGGAGAATGGTTATTAATATCAGCACAAGAAAACATTTACTCCTGTCCATTTTCTACCATGAGTATTCTTCAGGATAACCTTGAGCGTTCCTGGAGAATTCTCCATCAGTTTAAACCACCACCAAGAAAAAGCTCCAAAAACACATCTGTAGGTTCTCCCACAAACAAACAACCAACACCTAAATCCACAACTTGAATGCGAATAAAGAGTATTTTCCAATAAAAGCCAGGCATGAAGCCCAAATCCAGTGACAGGATGTTCTAAGATTGCAAGAGTGTCTTACTGGCCTCAAGTTTATCTATTGACTGTATTCAGGACCTCCATTACAGCAACTAAAAATCACATCTTAATGGGAAAGCACTGCCTATCAAAAAACATAACAGAAATACCATTCAGAACTGTTAGCTGAGTACAGTTCTCTCAATCCAATTGTACTGCAGGGTCAAGTCAGTTGATCAAAACAATCTGGCTTTGGCTCAATACACTTGACCCCTAGGCTACTTTCTCCTAGCCAGTAACACCTTCTCACTCACTTGACTACTCTCAAGGGAAAGTTGCACTTTTAAGGGCTCAAAACAGTCCACTCACACTCACTACACAAATGTAATACTGATAACTGCCCCAACCTGAAAAGGACTCCCTTCCAAACTACATTTCCATGAATTTAGGATTCACCAGGTAAGTGAAAGGCACAACTTTTAGCTTGGTATTATTATAAGCTTGGTGACTTTGACACTAGAACAGAGTAGAGTAGTGGGATAAGAGAAGTATCCATCCTCACCCTTGATCTGTAGCCAAAATTACATGCAAGTGTTGGAAAATGATAGCTAAAATGTTACGGAGTCTCATATAACTTAGGTTCTGATACAATACACAGTAAAAGGAAGATCCATTTGCTCTGTCTATCACTACAGTCAGAACAAAATATAACTAGAACTTGGCAGTACCACATATGCAGTAGAACTAGTATAAGGAGTAACCAACTAATTGAAATCAGAAAGTGAATTTGGGGATGAAATTGTTCAAAGAGGATTTTGACCAATACATCAATTTTAACAACCTTATTCTTAAACGCTCTCAAAGCTTCCTCATCAATAAATCTTGTATGTGCTATACAACTCACTAGAGACAGAATCTCCTCCACAGTCCTTAGATGACTCCACTTCCCAAAGCACTTAGCTATCCCCTGAGTGTCTTCAAGCTCACTCAGTGTGCTTATTCTGCCCAGCCAGGTTAGACACATCAGACATATATCCACCAAGTTCTTTTTCAGAAGAAACACATTAGTCTGAAGACAACAAGCAAGTATAGGAAGACAGCAAGGGACACCAGTATGGGGAAAAAATTGTAAAGCTTGGAATTGGAAGGCAGTGAAATAAATCAACCTCCTGAGTCACTTCCTGACCCACAGATCCTGACACAGAGCTCCCCAGGCAGAAAGACAGGCTTGAGATTTTTCAGAAACCTCATTCACTTGAAAAGTTTTTTTTTTTTTTTGCTATGTTCCACAAAGGATGGGGTGAATAAAGGCCCTGGGAGTACTTGGGAAACATACCTTCTCCAACTTCCTGCAGTCTCGTTTTCCAGACGAACCCTCTTTATCTTCTGCATTAACTACTCAGCAAGCTCGGCAGAACAGGAAACTAGGAAGGAAGATGAAAAAAGCAAATTTCATACAGCTGCAGTTTCCCCTGGCACCTTCCACAGGTCACATATGCAACTGAGTGCAGAGGCACAACCAAAACTCTTGGTTTGGACTTTGCAATCCAAATCCATGTTCTATCAACCTGTGCTGGATACTAACAACCCAGACAAAACACGGAATTCTTTTTCTCAATAGTGGAAATCTATGGCCTCTCTCTTCTTACAAAAATTCTTAAAATCTGAGAGCCCTCAACAGAAGCTCTTTCTTTCACTCCCCTCTCCGAATCCCAAAATTCAGTATTAAGAGAGAAAACACAAGTCTCATCAACACACTCACAAGAGTCAAACAAACGACACCATAAGGATCCAGACAGAAGGTCAGCAGCCCTGCTAGTGACAACATCATGGCCCCACACAGGACATAAAAAAACCAGATTTGTTTTCCAAGCCAGTGCGTTTCTCTCTGCCTCAGCATCAGCCTGATGCCACAGAACAAGCCTGACTTGCCACACAAACCCATTTCCTAGGAGCATTCAAAGGCATGATGTTCACTACCTCTCCACTCATGTACCTTAACGTACAATGATCTTTGTCTCCTCTTCTGGCTCTGAATCACAAACACACCCCAGAATGTCACTATCTGCTGCTGAGGCCCCTAGTCTGCCCAGACAGCCATCTCTGCACCTCAACCACACTCACAGAAAATTCAGAGAAACAAAGTGTCACAGAGAAGCCCTGTACAGGGAAGTTCCTCCTGCAGAGAAGAACCAAGAGAGACTAAAGAGCAGCATCCAGTAACTTAAGGGCAATCTTCAATACAAGCACAAAGGGCAACAGGAGCAGTGCTCAGGAATGCTGAGTAACCTGGTCTGATCTCACAGCTGGCCTTGCTGTGAGCAGTGCTTTGACGAGGGACTTCCTAAGGTCCCTTTTAATTTCAATTATTCTGTGATTTTTATGATTCAGAGACACAGCTCATCCTCACCCCCTCCCCCAGGAACAATGACATCCTCCAATGCAAAACACACAGAAAAGAGACGGAAGGAACCAAACAGACATGAGGGTTTAGAAAACTGAGGGGCCTGCAGGTGTCTTTGGGAAGAGCCAAAGAACCACAGCCACTCCTCAAACACTATAAACACGTCCCTGTCACAGACGAACATAAGCTCGAGTACCTCCTCCAAAAATAAAAGGGAGTGAGTGGAACAAAGCAGTAGGGACTTCCACGCAGAAGACTCAGCTTTATTAAAGGCTACAAGTGACCAGAGCCAGGCCCGGGCAGGCAGCCTCACTATACTGCTACCCGTGCTGGAGGGGAAGGCTGCAGCGTTCCCCGAAGCCTGGGAGATCCTTGCTCTTCCCAAATCGCGAGCCACCCCCAACCCTCCCGGGCACAGCACACGCTCCAGTGGCAGTCCTAACAACAGCATAACGCACCTCTCCTCCAGCTGCCCAGTCCCGGGGGAGCTGCACTCCCCACCGTCCCCTCAGAGAAACCTTCCCCACTTCGCCCGTGGGGGGCGGGGGAAGGGGCGAGCCCCGTCCTCGGCGTGGTGGCCTCCGGAATCTGTGGGGGTGGACGAGTCACGGGGGACCGACAGAGGCCCGCCCGGCTCCTAGGCCTCTCCGCGCGCCCCGGGCGCAGCCCCCCTGCCCTAGGGTCGCCCCTCACCCCGTCCCCCCCCGCTCTCCTCACTCACCCCAGGACACGGCGACCTCCCCCCTCAACGGGCGGGCAGGGGGGACGGTGGCGGCTTTTCTGCGGGGCGGGGAGGGGGGGGAAAGGCGGCAACTCCGTCACTCCCACTCCATGCCGCGGACACCAGGCAGCCCCGGAAGCGGGGTGGGGAGCAGGGAGGAGGGAGACAGGAGGGGGCAGCGGCCTGCCCCTGCGCGGCCTTTCACCCGGCTCCGGAAGTGAGGCGCGCGCGCGTGCGAAGTGGGTTGGCGGGAGCGCGCGAGGGGCGGTACCAAGAGCGCAGTATGCGTGGGGAATGGAGTCGCAGCGTGGGAGGGGGAAGTTGCTAGAGAGGGTACGGAGGGAACTGGGGGTAAAAATACACAAAATGAATATCTTTCTTTTCATAACACCCGAATGCATCTTGAAGCGTCCTCGTGGGGCAGCATTGCTAAGTACTCCATATCAGTTTTCAGCCCCTTCTAGGAAAAAGTGGTTGGGTCCATGTAGTGGTTAGTAGAGAAAGCGGGCGCGACTCGATTGTCGTGCGTTGGTGGTATAGTGGTTAGCATAGCTGCCTTCCAAGCAGTTGACCCGGGTTCGATTCCCGGCCAACGCAGCGGTTGCTGTTCGTTTTCCTTTTTTTTCTTTTCTGCTTCCCATAGATTTCGAAACCCCTCCAAAACGCGTGTCGTAGCGCAGTTTTCCCTACCTGGGCGCTGGCGGTCACCAGTAATGCCGGTGAAATTTGTACGTTACCCTGCTTTGAGAGCGCAGTGCTGTCTTTTCGGCCCCAACTCTCACCGAGAGGAGCTGCAGAGCCTCGAAGAGTTGGGAGGAGGTAAATAAAACTGTATGAGGGTTTAGGAAAAGAATAAAGTAAAGTAATGGGTTAAAAAGAAAGTGAAGAAAAAAAACTGTTTCCGCCCGGGATCGAACCGGGGACCTTTCGCGTGTGAGGCGAACGTGATAACCGCTACACTACGGAAACCCGACGTACTCGCAACCCTTCGGCAGTGTGTGCTCTGCACAGCACGCGGTCGATACTGGGGACACTCCTGTACGCCCTCAAGAAACTCTACGCCAAGTACCAGCAAATTTTGCGTGGGGTTCTGAGCGACTAGCCTTAATGAGTGACTACTGTCTCTTCATTATTGTCTCTAGAGGCTTGCTGGCTGAGGAAGAGGTGGGTGTCCCACACCACTGCGTATGAAAGCATTCTGCTGGTGTTCCTTTCAGAAAGGTGAACAGCCCAGCAAGGACCAGATGCGCTCCTCACACACGGCACAATGCCCACAGCACAACGAGGCCTCGTGCCCAGCTCCTCATGGCACTGCAAGGCTTCAGGCCTGCTGCATGCCCTCCTGGCAGACTGCACCTCTCAGCCCATGCCCGCCCCTCAGCCCTGTGGCTCAGGACGAAGCCAGGTGTGCAGGCTGTATGCAGGCCATGAGGACAAGATGTGGTGCTTTTGGGCCACACGAGAAGAAGTAGCAGCTCCTTTCCCTGAGGCAGCTGCCACCAGATGTCGGTATAACAGTGGCAACGGGGAGTGGGGCTCCCTGCAGAGCCGCTCTGAGCGAATCTGACCTCAGGACAGGAGCTGGTGGGTGACTGGTGGTGGGTATCTAACATTTGGTGCTGCTTCTCTCTTCCTTCCCTGCAAGTAAACCTTCCCTAATGCAAAATACGTTCACTGCCTGTGTCTCTCCAAGACAATGCTGTATAATGACACTGGCAATTGCCATGTGGTGAGTCTCTCAATGAGATCAGTGAGATTTTGGGTAAAGTCCCTGGTCCCAATTCTGTGTGGTTCTAGGAATACGCCGTATCCTTATTATTATCTTAGTGCAGTGTTAGCAACGCATGTGCTCATATAGCACTACTTTGTCTTCTTTTTTTTTCATAAATCTTCAGCCCTTGGGATAAGGTGGTAATATGATAATTCATTTTTCTCATTTTATTTTGTTATTTGAACTGTGTTTTATGCTCTGTTGGCTGCAGAGAAAAAGTTAGATGAGATAAATGAACCATAAACCCATAAGAAAGAAAAGAAAAAAAAAAAACCTCATGGTTACATTTAATTTTATGTTCTAGTGGCTAATCTCTTGATTTGGAGCCAAAAGGAATAGAGAGAAGGTTGTCACGTCTTTAAACTCTGACTTGCTGGTGTTTTCTCTAATTTGAATGGCAGTAAGGTTTAGAATATTACATTAAAGTCTACAACAAATCTTGACCCTTGGGACTTGTTTGCTTCACACCACTGTTTAATTTTGTGGTGTTACACTCTTTTTGCCTGCAACTGGTGGAGCCTGCAGGAGGGGACTCTGGTGTCCCTTTGCACTGTGTTATCACCAAAGTGTGGTCGGGGAAAATCTTATCAATATGTAAGGGTAAAGACCTCTCCCTAGTGCAGAAGAAATTGAATATGCAGTGAACCAAGATCATCAGTGAAAAGACTCAAATGCTTTGAGTTTTTTCTTCCACAGGTCTATCTTTCAGTCAAGTGATCAGTGGCAAAAGGAGACGAACAGACCAAACAACCGCAGGGAGAAAGTTCTTGGAAGGTACATATGAGAGACAGAAAGTAGAAAAAAAGACATTGTGTGTCTGGTATTAACTCCCAAACCTACTCAAAAAATACTGCAGTCATCCCTCAGTCAGTCAGTGGTGGACTCTGGGACACAGTATAGATGGGTCCTGGGCCCTGCCACTTGCTGGAATAGCTCCCAGGGATGTTGCTCACTTTGCTTACAAAGGTCAGTTGGTGATGACTGCTCAAAGTTTGCTCAGGAGGGTGAAGAAACTGGCAACATCTCAGTCTGCCCTCCAGCCCCTGACCCGTTCTCTGCTCACAAGATTTAGAAACCCTGTGGCGCAGCTCACACATGAAAGCCGCCTATGCCTCACCTCCCCTCCCCAAGGGCAACCTCTAGAGTTTGAAGAAAGACTGTCACAGAAATACACAAGAAAAAGAAAACAGGGGGGTGGTTTGGAGGTGAAGGCTGGATATTCTCCACTATTATCACCAGCACCTGCCCTTTCTGAAGAAGGAAACCCTCCCCCAGCTAGCCTTTTCACCAGTGTGCTGAACGTGGCTGTGCTGTGCTTTGTTTGTCTGACATGCTGCAATGACTGCAGAGTTCCTTTCTCCCCTTTTTCTCCCTCTGCTCTCAAAGCAGCCTGCATGGCTGCTAAAATAGAGGGGAGCTTGGAGCACAATCGAACAGGAGAGCTGACAGTCAGGGCTTGGAGACAACACCGCCTGCACAATACTCCCCCAATTAGCCATTCATTTGTGCTACCTCTGAAATGGGGAGCGCAGCCCTTGTGTGCTGGGAGATAAAACAAGAACAGCTTCAATAGCACTGATTTAAATTAGGTCAGGCTAGCTTTTGTGTGGCAGGGACCACACAATAGTAGTCACACGACTGTGGAGGGGAGCAGCATAAAGGAAAAAGAGGCCAAGTAAGTGGCACAGATGTTGGGAGTTGGTGGATACTGGGAGATGAGAGGTGGAGGTACATGAGTGATAGCGAAGGGGGAGACACTACAACCAGCGCATCATGCTAATATATAAAAAGAGCACATGGTCAGCAGGGAAGAGAGAGGTCAAATACTGGCTCTGCAAAAAGAAAATATTAGCTATTTCTGCCAGACCAAGGAGCGTGTGAGCACAATCATATGTGTCCTTTGAAAACCAGTCTTTTGTTATAACTGGTTATAGGGCACAGTGGTGACAATGATGTTCAATCACAGCATCCTCCCTGAGCACCAGTACAAGTCCTGTCCATCAAACAGAGTGTAAGGGGGACACTGGTCTTCTCCAGGACCTTTTTTTCTAAGAGGCATATTTCTTATACCTCCGGCCCAGACATACTGCTTTTCCTCTGTCAAAAATGCAATGAGATGGTAATTTTTCTGGAGTATTCAGCAAGTCAGAGGCATAGGTACAATGGATCCTCAGAGTCCTGGGCTGCCATCTATAGCGATTTATTTCTCTTATAAGTTGATTGAAAGTCCACACCCAACTGGAACACCTGATGTGCTTTGAAGTCCTACACTCCGTTTTTTAACTGTTGGTGGGTTGGGGGAAAAATCATCAGCTGCTTCAAGATGATTTCTTAACCCAGGCTCTCAAAGACATCTGAGAGAGATCCTGAAGATAACGACCAGGAGAATGTGAGCCCTGGAGACTAGACCTAGATCTCACTCCAGTATCATTAATATTAACACTGCTGTTATTACAGTAGTTATGCAGTTCATGTTTATTTGGCAGTGGGAGAAGATGAGAGCAGCATGCTTTCTGTAGCGACAAAGTGTCCTCAGAGCTATCAATAAGAGCCTGATCTTTTCAGGCCAGTCTGAGCATGCTGTTGTCATGATCTAAATGAGTTTAACCATGTAAGTCCATATGCAAAAGAAGGTCAGCTAAGTTTTAGAGCAAGAGTGAGCTCTCAAGCCCTGTGAGTCTCTCAAGACAGAAACCTTACTTGCTGATTTGTCTGTTGTGACTTACACAGGTAACACTTCGCTATGCTTGGCCAAGGAAATGCTAATAGGAGAAAATACTTGTGTAGAAAAATTGAAAAGCATAATCAGCTGTTTAATGTGGCATTCTTTGGCCTTTTTGAATAAAAAAAAAGTACTTCTTGGCAGTTGGAAGAAAATGTTGTATACAAAGACAAAATTTACATAAGCAAAATGTATATTGTATAACAAAGTCATAATTTTCTTGATAGAATTACAAGCATTTTAATTTCAACTACTGATAATGAAAAAGAGCCAAAGAACAGACTATGTCTGCCAGTCAGTGCAAAATAGGGAACACTAGGTTAAATTTTGAATTAGCAGTTATTCACATTGTTTATTCACCTAATAATGACTTGTTTTTAAAAAACAGAGTTGTTGTGTGAGCCATCCTCTGACCCTTAACTTCTTATGCGGTTAACAGGTTGATTTAAGCATACAGCTTCCTGCATGCATACACAGACAGCCAAAGACTCCGTATCCAGAAGCTGATACTGGAAAGATACAGACTGAAAATAAGCTGTCCTTTTTCAACTTTAAGTGTAATTAAACACTGAAATAGTGCCTATTGTAGGGAGGTGGCCCTGGAGGCATCAAGCCAAAATGAGACATGTTGCTGAAAGGTACATTCACATTCAGCCAGATGGTCAGAGCTTGATGCGTGAAGCACCAAGTGAAATTATCTATCCAGTTTATGTGGAAAGCCAGCCTGGAGCAACT